TGATCCTGCCTGTCAACCTTGACACGTAGTTCAGACAAGAAGCACACCTGAAAGTACAAGCTTTGTATCTTTATTGTAAAGAAACATTAACAAAAACTTGCAAGGCTAAGAGGACATTTCTCCTCCCTGGCCTATTCAGTCCAAGAAATCAGAGAGAGTCTCTTCTGAGATATCTGCCATTCCCCCATCCCTTCAGCAGGCTCAGCTACCTCTTATATAGCCATTGCCTAGTCCAGGGATGTAAAATTCGATTTCATTGAGGGACGCCTCAGGGTTGTGTTTGATCTCCGTGGGTCCAGGGGGCGTGGCCAGGGTAAGTGTGGCCAGCTCGACGCCCATTTATTTATTTATTTGATTTATATTGCCGCCTATTCACCCATGGCGACTCGAGGTGGCTTACACAATGTAAAATCATATTTAAAACAAAAAATAAAAATAATAAGGACTAACAAAAAGAATCAAATAAATTAGTAAAGTACAATAGAACAGAATTTGGGGAAACAAAAAACCAAAAAAAAAACAAAAAACTCCCACACCTCACCCAGACGACAGCGGATCACACTAGCCATTTGATGGGTTCCATCCCTCTCTAGGTTTTCCCCTGGCCCGCTGGCAAAACCAGGTCTTCAGTGCCTTTCAGAATAGTATTAATGAGGGGGCCATTCTAATCTCTGGGGGAATGATGTTCCAGAGAGACGGAGCCATCACAGAGAAGGCCCTTCTTCTAGGTCCCACCAGGTATATCTCCCTCAGGGGTGGGACCCACAGCATTCCCTGCCTCCTCGCTCTAATGGGTCGGGTAGATGTCACTGGCAAGAGATGTTTCCTCAGTTTTTGGCTGGAATGGCCTCCTGAAGCCCTCTGTCAGCAAAAACAGAGCTCAGGAGGGCCGCATGTGCCCTCCCAAGCTCCATTTTTGACCACAACAACCTCCTGCAGCCCTCTGCCAGCGAAAATTGCGCTCTGGGAGGCACATGCGTCCCTCCTGAGCTCCGTTTTTGCTGGCAGAGGCACCACAGGCCAGTCTTTCGCTGTTTCCAGGGCATCCCCGCAGGCCAGATCTAAGCCTTGAGTTTGATACCTCTGGCCTAGTCTATGGCTCTTTCTTCTCTCTCCAAGGTCATTCCCATATACCACTACATTGTCTGAGTGTTCACTCCAATTCCCTCTCAGAAGCAACCAAAAAAACTGTATTCCTTAACTGCTTGTATTACTGCATCACACTTGCTTGGCCTTTGGATATTGCTTTCTCTTTCTCATTCTGTTTCTCCCCTTTTGTCTTTTGGCCTTCAAACCACCCCAAAGGGAATATTATTTATGGTATATAAATACAATTGGCAACGTTCTCTTGATTTTAGTAAAGATGTTAAAGTTCACCTCTTTGAACTGATCTTTTTAACTATAAAAAGTTACAAGAGGAATAACACCATCTCTTTATCACAAAACTCATGAAAAAGATTGCCCCTTTGGATAAATACTGTATATTGGCTCAACAGATGATGCTGAAGTACTACAGGCCTTAAAACAGATGATGCTGAACTACTACAGGCCTTAAATGCAAACTACTCAATGCAAGAAGCCTCGTGAATAAAATGCCTGAATTTTTCCTCCTACTAAATATGGCTAAATTCGACATTATATTTGTCTGTGAAACATGGCTCAATGCATCTCTCCCTGACTCCATTACCACAGTAAGGGACTATCATGTTTACCGATCAGATCGTGAAATTCGTAGAGGAGGTGGTGTTGCTATCTTCTATAAAAAGTCCTTACATCTAAAAAATATCCAAGTTACCCAGGAGCTTGCTCTTCCTGAGACCATCATCTGTGAACTATCCTTAAATATCACAATTCGATTCTTACTATGTTACAGAGCACCTGATTATGACATCGAACATGTAAACAAGCTAAATACATTACTAACATGGGCTGCATCCTGCCCATACCCTTTTATCTTTCTTGGTGATTTCAATTTGCCTCATATTGACTGGACCCTAAATGAATGTACAACTGAAATCATACACACAACCTTCTACAATGCTATTACAAATCTGGGACTGGAACAACTAGTAACCAACAACACTAGACTAAACAACTGCCTCGATCTCATCTTCTGCAATAGTTTGAATTTAATTTATGGAATACAAACTAAAGAACCCTTTTCCAGCAGTGACCACAATATGATTGACTTTTGTCTCAACATACGCCCACACAAAAATCACCACAATGATGTAATCCCCAATTGTAACTTCAAAAAAGGCAACTATGATCTTATAGACAACGATCTCTCATCCCTTGATTGGCAATCTCTATTCACTGGATGCAATACTGTTGAAGACCATTACAACATATTTTTACTTGAAGTCAAAAGAGTCATCAAACTATATGTACCAACAACAACTCCCAAAACAAAACAAAAAAGCAGATTACCCATAACAATAAGGAAACTTCAATCCAAAAAGAGATCACTCTGGCGGAAAAATAAATCTGGACACGTTGCCAATTTCAAAAGCCGATACAAAAATTTATGCCACCAGATAAAGACCGAATGCACCAATTATCACATTAAACAAGAGGAAAACCTTCTAAGCACCAATTCCACCCGTGCTTTTTACAATTTTGTAAACAACAAACTAAAAGACTCAAGGTCCATCCCACCCTTGATAGGACCTGATGGTAAAGACTGCAACGACGACACCATTAAAGCCAACCTCTTTAACACATTCTTCGGCTCAGTATTTGTAAACAGCAATGGATCATGCCCAGTATTTCCTAGCCGTACCACAGATAACAACAATGATCTAATACATATCGATTTTACAGAAGACAATGTTGAAAAAGCACTACGCAATCTAAAACCATCTCTATCTATTGGACCGGATGGAATATGTGCCTACTTCTTAAAAAAGCTATCCACTGCCATAGCCAAACCTCTAAGCATAATCTTTGAAAAATCTTTCAGGACCAGCTCCTTGCCTAACCTATGGTCACAAGCCACAGTCATCCCCATCTTCAAAAAGGGAGACCCAAGCCTAGTTGAAAATTACAGACCAATCTCCTTATGCTGCGTCACCTGTAAAGTCATGGAATCAATTATTAACCAATCCATCATCCTCCACTTAGAGACAAACAACCTACTCTCCAATAAACAATTTGGTTTCAGAAAAAAACTATCCTGTAATCTGCAACTCTTACACTGCAAAAACATATGGACGACACAACTCGACCAGGGCAAAGCAATAGACGCAATCTACATAGACTTCTGTAAAGCCTTTGATTCAGTGGTACACGACAAACTACTCCTAAAAATATAATCCTATGGTATCTCTGGACAACTGAATAACTGGATAGAAGCATTCCTGGCAAACAGACAACAAATGGTCAAAATTGGGAGCGTCCTATCAAACTCTGTACCTGTCAATAGTGGTGTCCCCCAAGGCAGTGTTTTAGGACCAACTCTCTTCATACTCTACATAAATGACCTCTGCGATCATATTAAGAGCAATTGCGTTCTTTTAGCTGATGATGTAAAGCTGTTCAATACCACAGACAATACTGCTACCCTACAAAAAGATCTCGACTATGTATCAGAATGGTCAAACAAATGGCAACTTCAAATCTCAACAAATAAATGCTCTGTCTTACATATTGGCAAAAAAAATCAGAAAATAAAATACAAGCTGAATAGTCAAGATCTTGTTGATGACCCAAGCTCTGTAAAGGACCTTGGAATACTCACCTCTAATGATCATAAGTGCTAGAGCCCACTGCAACTACATAGCCAAAAAGGCATTAAGAGTTGTTAACCTAATCCTACGTAGCTTTTTCTCTGGTAATATCACACTACTAACCAGAGCATACAAAACATTTGCTAGACCAATACTCGAATACAGTTCATCAGTCTGGAACCCACATTACATATCTGATATTAGCACAATTGAGAAAGTCCAGAAATATTTCACAAGAAGAGTTCTCCACTCCTCCACTCGCTGTAGAATACCTTATGCCACCAGACTTGAAATTCTAGAACTAGAAAACCTTGAATTACGCCGTCTTCGGTCTGATTTAAGCATGGTATATAAAATCATACATTGCAATGTCCTACCTGTCAATGAATACTTCAGCTTCAACCATAACAACACAAGAGCACACAATAGATACAAACTCAATGTTAACCGCACCAAACTTGATTGCAGGAAATATGACTTCAGCAATAGAGTGGTCAATGTCTGGAATACTCTACCCGACTCTGTAGTTTCTTCCCCAAACCCCAAAAACTTTAACCTTAGACTGTCTACTATTGACCTCACCCCTTTCCTAAGAGGTCTGTAGGGGGCGTGCATAAGCGCACCAACGTGCCTACCGTCTCTGTCCTATTGTTTCTCTTATTCTTTTATTTTTCTTATATGTACCCATTTCATGTATTCACATCTATGTATATACTTATACTTATTATCTTGTAAACAATTGGCAAATCAAATAAATAAAAATAAAAATAAATAAACTTTTAACATTTCTCACTAATGGCCCTTTTGGCTGACGTCTGAATGTTCTAGCACAGCAACAACTAGAAAATTAGCTTCTCCCATATAGTTAGGCTGGTTTATCAGGTTAAATCATAGTGATTTACTGTGTTTAATTTTGACAACAAGTTGTATGAACCCAGTTATTATACTTAATAGCTTGACTTTTATATGAATCCACATGAATGCATCTTGTTCCACTAACCATTTTTAAGTCAGATGACCTACAATGATGCATAACTCAAGTCTGTATGAGTGCTCATCATTCTCACTTTGAATGAAAAATTAATCCTTCAATTTAAGAAAATGTGCAGTCTGGCCTTAGTGTTTCATTGACATTCATTTTTCAATGTGGTGGCCTTCAAAATATGTCAAACAAGAATTCTTTATGGAAGAAGACAACCTAACATATATGGAGGACATTAGGATAGAAAATTTTATTTAAGTATAATGATACTTAAATATGAATAATCTTACCAATTTGGTCAAGTTCAAGAACGAAATAAGAAACACCCATGGAGTTGAACAGATCCTTCACCTACATAAAGCACAACATTTCATTAAGATTAGTAACTAGAATGTTTAAAACATACCTCCCATTTTGCAGGTTAATACTATAATCAATATACAACAAGAACAGCATTTTCTTCTTCTCTTGCACCATTTTTCCTGATGAAGTGTTAAATAGAACTCAAAAGTCTATGCCATTCAAGTTTACTAACTAAAGATATTCCTTAAATATAGCTTTGGAAATGATTAACATAGTTATTGTTATTTTAAAACATGTTTTGATATTTTAAGATATTGTGGCATAAGTTTTATAAAGAAAATTGGGTGAGCCTGCTGTTTAGAATAACAGAATCTACAACTTTTAGTAAGGATCATGCTTGGCTTCTGAGGTGTGTGTCAAGGATGGTACTGCATACATTTCATGAAATTCATATTTAACTAACATTAAATACTCTTTCTCCACCCCTTTGGGTCACAAGGTGTTGGAACCCCCATGTGATGGTACCCCATGGATTGCCATCTAATCATTATAATATTGGTTATTGGTTTATGTTTTATGGATTTTTAAGGTGTTGCTGAACTTTCTTTAAGCTGCCCAGAATCATCTTGCTTCAATTGGACAGTCATGTAAATGTAAATACCTAAATCAAATACAGTTACTGTGTGTTCCTCTCTGGCCCTATACTTCAGAAGGTTTCTCTCCTCTCACAAAACCGCACAGATAGAAACAAAATTTGGTGGCCATATCTAATATTTTTGAATGCCACATAGTGCCCCCCCAAGTAAGGGCATTCAGAGCCACATGTAGGTAGCCCATCAATTGAATGCCATATGAAAAGAGGTGGAATGGGACAATTTGCCACAGCCAACTCACTGCGGCCAATTTGCCATGGCTAATTCACCACAGCCAACTTGCTGCAAGACAATTTGCCATAGCCAACTCACTGTGGGACAACCTGCTGCAGGGAAATTTAACAATTCTATTTAATTAATTAAAATAAATAAAAAATATTTTAATTGTTGCCATTCACATTTCATTCTGTCCCTCTTTTTGCATCCTTTATTTAATGATTCTATTCCACTCTTTCTTTAATATTAGTGTAACTTTTATCCTGCAGTGAGTTGGTCATGGCGAATATCATAGACTCACAAAGAAGGGGCTGGCCTTTTGCCTTTGCAGTGACATTGAAACCATGGAATTTCCTTTCTAGGAATTGATCCTTTCCTATTGTCTTTTTCATTCTCAGATTAAGGCAGGCAGTCTGCTGAAGCGGGTTGGTGCTCCCCTGGTTGCTCTCTTCCCAGTCACCTGAATTAGATCAGCATAAATAGCGCTGAGAATGTAGGTTTTATTTAAAATATATTCAGTTAATTTGAAATTAAAGTGAAGATGTTTAGCTCAGCAGATTACAGCTTCAGGGTTGGGTTTAAAGGCAGAGATACAATCACTGAAATAAATGAAAACACACATAAATCTAATTTATGGGTCTCTTCTAAGATAATTAAACTAGAATTGCACCCATTTCAGAAAAATAAATAGATGAAAACGACTGGTGGTACAGTCTAATTGTATACTGCTTAAAAATATCTCCCACATTTATTGGATCTTTCTTATTAATTTAATAAGTGAATGAAAGTATTTTTCCTTCCTGTTAGCAAGACAAACATCTTATTACTGATAGTCTTCCAACTTACATTAAACATTCGTTTAGTGACCATTCAGTTACAATGGCACTAAAAAAGTGATTTATGACTTTTCACACTTATGACCACTGCAGTATCTCTGTGGTCATGTGACCAAAAACCACACACTTGGCAACTGGCAGGTATTTATGACAGTTCCCATGGTTATGTGATCACCTTTTGTGAACTTCTGACAAGCAAAGTCAATGGGGAAATTCAGATTCATTTAAAAACCGTTTTACTGATATAACCTCTGCAGTGATTCACTTGAAGACTGGGGCAGGAACAGTCGTAAAATGAGGGAGAACTCACTTAACAACAGTCTTGCTTAGCAGTGGAAGTTTTGGGCTCAATTGTGGTCACACAGTAAGTGGAAGATTACCTGTACTGCATTTCTATCTTTAAGATTTATGCAATGGATTTCACTGAGATCTATATAAGCGATTCAGAAAAGCTACAGCTTGCATTTAGATTTGTTCAGTAGAATTAAAGCAGAAATTATGTGTATGTGTGTATTATTTATGAGATTTGTTTGACACCCATCTCACCCCAAGGCGACTCTTTAGTTTAAACTGTTTCCCTTTTCAGACTATTTAATCTTCATATTGCAGCCAATACTTCTAGATAAAATAGGCAATAATTAGCTATCACTTGTCAGAATAAGCCATTAAATCGCCCATGTTTAATGTGAGTAAATGTTATTATCATAACTCTCCTGCCAAGATGGCCAATGCTAGGCAGGAGGGCTGCTAAGAAATTGTGGAAACTGTTGAACAATAACATATTTGGAAAGATTATATAACAAGAACAGAGAAACACAGAAAGCTGCCAGTCCATATTTTACTAACTCAGTATCAAGGCAATGAATTGCCAGCATTCTCTGCTGCTTCGTTTAAATCAGAGGTGGGGAACTATGGCCCTTTTATGACTTGTGGACTTCAACTCCTAGAATTTCTGAGCCAGCATGATTGGGTCAGGAATTCTGGGCGTTGAAGTCCACAAGTCATAAAAAGACCATAGTTCCCCACCCTTTAGATACACATTCTGCATCTTTGCATCTGAAAACAAATGCATTACCTTTGCACAGAGTTTGCAAGTGGTATTGCTGAAAATCATGACACTGTTTTCATCAATGAGTGTCTGGATCGCTAACTTCCAATCTTTCTTATTAATAGCAGCCTCCACATTTTTTCCTTTGCCATGAATTTGGAATGCCTTCTGAGTAGCATTTTTGGTGGCTGCAAGAAAAATAAATATTATTGTAATAAATTAGATTACAGCTCTTTTCCTGAGTTTGATACCATCCAGATGTATTGCAACAGCCATTTCCAGAATTACTGAGAAAGTTTACTTATCAAGAAAGTTTATTGCTAATTATCACAGCAAATTAAAAGATTCTATTAATTAAAGTGAGTCTAGCCAAGGCATGGGGGATTTTGTTTAGATGCATTGTTTTCTGCTTCTGTAAAACCAGATGGAGGATTTTATTCAGAATAACACCCACAGTATGAGAATTTAATCAGCAAAACAAAAATGTAAGAGAAAAAATGTTAAACATAGGCTAAACGTCAGTGCTATGGAACTACATCTAACATTAATGGAAGTAAAAGGCCCCCAAAATACACAATGACACAAAGTGGGCTAAAATTTTTGGTTTAGCGGATATGGATGTTTTAAATTATTCTTTTAAAAAAAATAATGTAAAGTCTACAACTGTGAGGTTGTAGATATTTCTAGAAAGACATTTGCAGCATTACATGGAAAATTACAGCTAGAGCCCTAGAACTGTTTTTATGATATGTTTAACTGGAGACATGTAAAAACTCCCTTTTTTACAACCCTGTAGTCCCTATTTGAGGCAGAGCCGGGTTAACTGGATGGAACTGAGCATTTATTGGCTGGATGCCCTTCCTGACGTCTACACAGCATTTGTACCACATACTTTTTTCTTTGTGCCCTAGGAAAGAAACATCTCCCGCCACCTAGGATTGAACTCTCAACCTTCCAAGTGGGAGGCAACTAGGCTACCACTATGCAGTCCCATTTCAATGCAGAAACTAGGTTGTGCATTGGATGGTCTGATAGCTGACATAATGTTTTTAATGGCTACAAAAATGAAAGTTGGATTATACCACCTTGTTAAACCCTTCCCATACCTGAGCTTCTGAAATTCTTTCCTCATTAATATATCTGCTTTTCTATTTATAATCAAAATTACAAATGAAGACTTTGATTATCTGTTGAAACGGAGGATTTAGTCCAGGTTCACATACTTTGAGGGCATTTGGTCTCCCGTATTTCAGGATGTGCTGGAGGTAAGCCTAGAAATGTAGTTGGATAAAGTTATCAATTTGTCCACAATCAGATGGAAGTCAAGAAGTTAAAGGTATTGTTACTTAGATTGTGGGTTTTGTATGTTTTGTAATCATTCTTTGTGCTGCTTATTAAGAAAAAACTGTTATTAAGGTGGCTGCAAAAGAGGAAAAGGATGAAAATTGTAGATGATTTTTTCAGAGTAGGTACTGTAATGTAGCATGATGTCACAATGAGGGCATTCTCCAGAAAGTATCATGTATCCCTTAGGCCCAAACACCACAATACAAGCATGATGCATTAATCATAGCCAGCTGAGCATTTCCATAAGGTCGCCACTGGCTTCTCTTCTGACAGATATACAGGAATTTGGTTATGCAGCTCCAATTAAAGTTAATTGAGTTGTTTTTGTGCACCTAAAGAAATTAGGTTTTAACCTTGAGACATTTCTATCAGTATTCATAATCTAAATTACACATTCCTAGCGGGAGAACAAGATCCAGCCAAATAAATCCAGTTTTTCCAGAATATGCTCAGTTTTGTTTCTTTGAAACAACTGATATTCTGATTGGGTAAATACCTTGGTAGATCAAGAACAGATTTAGAGTCAAGGGAAATAATTACTTGAAGATTTGATCTATTGAATTGGTACCTCAACCATTTGTGGATTTCAGCACTTTAACATAGAAGGGCCTGCTGTTTGGGGCAATTTTTTTCCTTGATAATTTCACGTTTTGTATCAAAAGAGGGCAATAGTGAGGCCAGCTGTGATTTTGAGTAATAGTACTCGTGAGATGATTGTAATTTTTCTTACCACTAAATATCCTGTTCCTGGCCTGACTTACTGTTGAGCTGCTATTATGTCTACAAAAACAAGTCTAGTTCTTTCCTTCCTCAAAATGTTGAACAGTGGTTGGATGATTTTTGATCCTGAAATCAATGGTCTTTCGTTATATGGTTTGGTGTATTAGTTCACTTATTTAAATGTGGGAAGACAGTAGAGCTATCTTTGGAGGGCCCCTACCGGTCATTCTAATAATCATGGTCAAGGAAATCTGGCCTAAGTCCCACACTGACATACACAACAAATCCAGGATGCCAAGTGGAGAAGTGGCAAGAGTAATATTGATGCTCCTGACAAAATAATTATCTTTTACCTACTTAAAAATAAAAGTGTAAATAAGCATCAGGACAACCACACAATGTGTACCCTGTTGGCACAGAGTTTTAACTTAAATGCACAGGACAATGCCAAATAGTTTATTATTTATTTACTATTTACATTAGAAAGAATAATTACAGGATAATTATTAAGTGCCTTTTTGTTTTAAATCTGAAAATTACCGAATTACAACATCTGTCATACTTTCAAAATAATACCCAAATTATATTGTTGTAATCCAACTGCCTCTTTTCATTCATAAAATAAAGGCTCCTCCCTTTTTTATCTGCACTCACTTGATTCCTCATTGATACTGTTGTATCCTCTCTGCTTTGCACCATATGGGAAAAGTCCAATGCTGTCTATGCAAAAGGTTTCTTGACAGCATCTGCATATGACTGTGTTTTAAATCAGAACAAAAAAATACTTAATACCGATTTTTCCATCTCCTGTTGCTTGATACATTAGGACTTATTTTATCTAGCACCTACTGACATAAACATGCCTAAATTATAGACATTTTATATTTAAATTAGGAGGACAACATTCTGCTCTTTGCATTTTTATGCTTCCTTCTTAAAAGCCGACATGAAAAAAAATCCCCTCCTTTTCCAAGGCATTTCCTTTAAAAATTCTTAAAACTCCTTTCAGTGAAGGAAACAATTTTTTTATAATTTTCTGCTAGGAAGAAAAAACACATTGGTAGTAACAGCTACAAAAGTCAAACCTCAGAGGACTAATTTGACAAATAAGCAAAATGCATTTGCTTATTTGCTGGTATCCTGCTGTTATGCTGCTGATAGCATTCTACAGAGCAATTATTGAGCCTGTCATTTGTACTTCTATAACTGTCTGGTTTGGCACAACTAAAGAGGACAAGTGCTAGTTCTAACAGATAATTAGGACTGCAGGAAAAACAATTGCAACCACCCTGCCTACCATAGAAGACATGTATATTGCAGGGGCCAGAAGGAAAGCTGAGAAAAACTGCATCCTGGACATAAGCAGTTTCAATTCCTCCCCTCAGGACATCACTATAGGGCATTGCATGCCAAAACTATTAGACACAAAGACAGTTTCTCCCCCCATGTCATCACTCTGCTGAACCCCTAATTCCCACAGCACAGCATTGTCTTATGCCTAAGGATATTTACCCATGTAGTAGGGCTGTATTACTATTATCCTTCTCATCTTTCCAATTACCTTCTCCTATTGATATTTTATGATTATGTCACTTTGTTGTTTGTATGTACACTGAGAGGTTATGTACTGGAGACAAATTCCTTCTGTGTCCAATCACACTTGGCCTACTCTATTCTATTCTTATCCTATCGTATCCCATTCTTTATTACTTTTATAAATAACATAAGGCAGCTATACCTAATATTCCTTCCTCCTCCTCTTTTCCTCACAACCACAACCTTGTGAGATGATCTGGCCTGAGAGAGAGTGACTGGTCCAAAGACACCTAGCCAGCTGTCATGACTAGGGCAGGACTATTCAGAATTCAGTCTCCTGATTTCTAGCCTGGTGGCTTAACCACTAGACCAAAGCATCAATATTTGCTAATCCAAGTTTTATTTCTCTGGACCCAATCCAAATCTTTAAAAAAACTGTAAATCAAATGGCATAGCCCAATAGCAAAATTACAAAGATAGTTATAAAATCTCTAGATATAACTGGCACAGTCTTACATAGCACATTTAGGACTGATCTTCATGTCTGGAGTTCAGAATTATTTTCCACTAAGCAAAAATTCTAATGGCTTTTCTCCTGCATTGAATGTGGCATAAGAGCACATAGCTGGTGAATCATCCCTGCTTGTTTTGCTGCAAAATTTGGCAGCATATGGCACCCTCTGGTCCTTCCTGCTTTTTGGTTGCCACTCTTTGGAACATAGAAGATCTTGGAGCACACACACACCTCTTATATGTTGGGAATATTTGGGCAAGTAGACTTTTGCTATTAGAAACAGTTCAGTTGGAATACAAATGCCCTTTGCAGCCTTACTTTGGCACTTCAGCACTAAAAAGAAAATATAGACAGTGATTGGATTCACATGTCATGCATTTTTTTTTTTAAAAAAAGGCTTCAATAGAGGAGAATATTTGTAGCTCAGAGTTGAAATTAGGGGGTATTTGATGCTCTCTGAGCTTGGTTGTTTTCTTGCAGATGTTTCAGTATTTCATTGCAGACTAGCACTGATGATGTTACCTAGTTCAGGTAATGAAACATCTGCAAGAAAACAGCCAATTCAGAGACCATCAAGGACCATTCAAAAATTAGCTTAGTGTGATGTATGGACTTAATGATGTGTGGCCATAGATAACAATTTATGGGGCAAAGGTTCACACCACACACAGCTCTCCAAAATGATGAAGAAAAAGAAGGGCATGCAGGGAGGGACACATCAAGGAGACATACGGCAGAACTCCAGAAATTGATCTCCAAAAATTGGCATTAACAAAACCGGAAAAGCTCACCGGAAGCACTTTTTCATCAAAAAAAGATGGCGGCGCCTAGCAAACCAGCGGCCCGGTAGGACTTGTTCCACGGACCGGTACCAGTCCGCGGACCGGTGGTTGGGGACCCCTGATATACACCATGCCGAACTAAAAAGATTGATTGAGAGGCATGTTTGCTGCCAACACATGCACACACCAAAGTAACCACATGGTATGGCTTTTTAAACACAATGTGTGGGTTGCTATGTTGCCTGAACACAAAACACTAGCAGATTTGAAACCACTGTTGATACCCAAAGCTTGTGATAAGATTGCAAACCTTGGTCCCCAGAAACCCCAAAGGGCACATCCTGTCATGAAACACACCAAGTTACTAAAGCACCAGCCTTGATTAATGAGACAGATATAACAGTTTCTAACATGGCAGCGTGTGTACCTCACTTTTTGATCTTGGCATGTTGTATTGTATTGCATCCATAGCTATCCAGTTCCTAACTGGGCTGCTGCTGCTGCTTTGAGTACAGCAGATACATTTGGGAAGAAAGAAGGGTACTCGTCTTTCTATCTTTTTACAGTAAATGTGTTACTGAATTTATTAAATTCAGTGGATTTTCTTCCTTCAAAATCTGTGTTCTAGCCTTAGCTGCAAGCCTGAAAATAGAGGTGTGGGGGTGGTGGGGTGAGGGAAAAGAGCAGTGAGAAACTCCAAAGTGAACATCATTTGATCACTCTAAAACTTTTGATCTTTGTGATGAAGAAGAAACCACTTTTTTTTCCACCTGTTGTGAGAAAGTAATATTTTATGTTGTGTTGGGCTCTTCGAAGAAAGGAGGAAATGGGAAGTTAAAAAAAGAGTACCTACAAGACACTGATGTTTATCATTCATAAAAGAGACTTGAGCTGCAAATGCAGTTTTTTGGGGGAAAACGCTGGGAGGAAAAAGCAACACTGGATTACAACAGATTTGGAGAGCTTTGACGCTGAGTAGTCTTCCCTACTAAACTTTTTCTCCTTAGCCAGATTTCCAAAGGGACCAGAGGGGAGTGGGAAATCAGGTAAGTTGCAAAGAGCCAGGTTCCCAGAACATTTCTTTAAGAGGCAGCGGGATAATAAAGAAGCAGCTTGCTTTGAAGCACCTTCTGTAAAAATGGGAGGTGTATTTGCACATCAGTTCATCCGTGATTAATATGGCTATAATTGACTGAACCCAATTTGCAAAAATCAAAAATCAACTAATCGCGCAGGCCACTTGGTGCAATATGCGTTTATGGCTAGTGTGCATATCCTGTGAATGCAGCCCGCAGTTGGTTTCAAACATCATGCCAGCTGTGATTTATTTAATCGCAACTGAAAATGATTGAATGGTTTGTTTCATCGCGGCTGGAAAAAAAAGGGAAGTGGCTGAATTCACACCGCACGCTCAGCTAAAAAGCCAACCAAACCTCGAAGCTTAACCCATTTCACTTTTTTTTCTCCCTCGTAAGCACCCGCTTCGCCGGCCAGCACAACTCACCTTCGAAGGGCGTGGTGCTGCTCCGCTGCTCTTCAGGTGCCTGCTGGACAACTTTGCCTTTCCGCGCTGAGTTGCCCATGCCGGGGTTCCTGTCCCCCGCTCCGTGCGACCTCTGTTGGCCGCTTAAGCGAAACGTCAGGTACCCGGAACCGTAGACTCTCCCTTCTCCTCTCTCTCCGCGTGGCAATTGATCCTGAGCTGGGAAGAGTCCTGCAAAAACAACAACAACACGGAAGAAGCCCCGAGGTCTGCGACGCTTGCAGCTCTTAGCGTTCGCGGACCCCGGCAGGAGCCAGAGTGGGTTTGATGGTCGCCAGCCGGTTGCGATGGGAATAGAACCCGAAGCGAAAGAATGAAGTTCTGAATTCCGAAAGGGGTCGTGCGACCCCTGCTGGTTGAAACTGAATCGTGTAACTGAATTTGCAAGGGAAGAACAAGAAGGGTTTGTTAAAAATGGTTACACAAATCATACTTGTGTGTGTGTGTGTGTGTGTGTCTAGATTAATACATTGAAAAAAATACTGTAGTTATAATGTACCTAGTCTTCAGGAAGATGTTTCATAAATTTGATCATTGCCTTTTTTTTTATAAAATGGAAAAGGGTGAGATGGATGGCCACTCTTGGAAAGGAAGGTTCGCCACCCACAATATCGTTATAATGGCTCTCACATGTAAGCATGTAGGTTGCTGCATTCTTCATCCGCTGCAGCTTCCAAATCCCTTCCGAAGATAATTTCATTGACAGCATATTGAAGGGATGTTTGGTAAAAACGTGAATTATATGCCTTCTCACCCAAGCCATAGCCTCCAGCTGCTCAGCAGCATCATGAATCCAAGAGGTAGCCAAGCAGGCCATCTGCTCTTTTAGAAGAAATGCTATTGTCTGAAGTAACCATTGAAGCAGAGAACTGGAGAATATCTGGATAAACAGCAGCTCCATTTTGTCTGGCTTCAACCTCGGCTTACTTGGTCCTATCTGGATCTGCATAGCTTCCAGGGATGACCTAAAGGTAGGTATCATTGATATGCTGCTGTTATCTCCTGATTGGATCAATGACTTATCCCAGCAGCCTCATATAGATGCTAAATAGCAAACTGAGAAAAAAATCAGCCCCTGTAGAACAGGTAGCCCTTGGCTTACAAGTTCATTTAGTGACGGTTTGAAGTTACAATGGCACTAAAAAAAATGACTTAGAACCATTTTTCACACTCATGATCTCTGCAGCATCCCCATGGGCACGTGATCCTAAATTCAGATGTTTGGCAACTGACTCGTATTTGTGACAGTTGTTTGTCTCGGGTTCTTGTGATCACTTTTGTGACCTTCTGATGAGCAAAGTCAATGGGGAAGCCAGATTCACTAAACAACCGTGTGATGAACTTAACAATTGCAGTGATTCCAGAGGTGGTATTCAGCAGGTTCTGACCAGTTCTGGAGAACCAGTAGTGGAAATTTTGAGTAGTTCGGAGAACCGGCAAATACCATCTGACTGGCCCCGCCCCCCATCTCTTCTCTGCCTCCTGGGTCCCAGCTGATCAGCTGGGTCTTCTTTGGTTGCCCTGCACAGGAGAACAGAGCTGGAAAGCAGGATAGTGGGGTGGGAAGGAATGGGGATTTTGCAGTATCCTTTCCCTGCCATGCCCAGCAAGCCACGCCCACAGTAAAAAAATTTGAATCCCACCACTGAGTGATTCACTTATCAATTACTGTGGCAAGAAAAGTCATAAAATGGGGGCAAAACTCACTTAACAAATGTCTCACGGACAGAAATGTTGGGCTCAATTATAGTTGTAAGTTGAGGACTACAAGTAATGGAATGCCCATGGGACTGATGTCACCACCACCGTCTGGGATTGCCTGGTTAGAAAACAGCAGAATCTATGAAAACAATGTCTAATCACTATTGCTGGCTGGTAGTCCAGAAGGATATCATGGCAGAAGATATTGAAAGCTATCAAGAGATGAAAGGGAACCAAGAGGGATGCCCTCCTGTCATCCAGATCACAGCAATTTACTCCCTAACTGAAAAGGATCCAGATAATTTCCTCTAAGGTATTCTATAATTGGAACAACCTTGTGTGAAGAGGAAAAAATGGTGACTGGTCAATATACAATCTTGCTGGGTCTCAGGAAGGCTTTTGGCACTGGGACAACAGCAAAGAAGCACGAGAATTAAAACCCTAGTAATTTTCAGTGATTTTTTTTCTATGTAGTTAACCTGGTCATAGATGTCTCTGCTCATTCCTTCCCACAAATCCACTGGGTAAGAACCCTACATCACTGTGCTCACCCATTCGAGTTTTGGTAACAGATGCCAGACCTTTCTGCTCATCTACTACAAGTTTAAGAATCATTTTTACTGTAGACAGATCTGGCATGAATATAGGCCCACCTGAGCTCTAGGTCGCCAGCAAGTTGGCTTCCCAGATCTAGGAATGAAGAATGAGCTGTGGAAAGTGGAAAGTAGCACCGGACCAGAGGTCTCCAATTTCGGCATCTTTAAGACTTGTGGGCTTCAATTCCCAGAATTCCCCAGCCAGCAAAGGCTTGTGGAGTTCAATTGGTGTCTGACACTAGTAGATTAGGCAGGTCATTTTCATGATACATCCTTTCCTCTCCTTGCCCTCCTGTTGATGGTCACGAGGGACATGTCCATGAAGCGCCAGGGTGAAGTCAGCTTGAGGAAAACCATTTACCTCAACTCAGCAATTGTGGGTTATTCAGTGAACTCTGGCCAAGGATTTATTTCACATTGTAAAATTAACTAAAATAAATTACATTTCCCTTATGGGATATATCCCAAAGCCTAGGTGTCAATTACTATATAGAGCTTGTATCCATGGCAGGAAGGAAACTAAGCCTCCCTTCCCCACTATTTATTCTTTGGCCATCCAACCTTTCAATCATTTTCAGGGCACACTATTAGAATTACACTTAAAAGGATTTATCACCAAGGTTGAAATTAGCAAGATAAGAAAGGGCATCAGCCTTCTCAAATAAAGAAAATATCTTTAGGATATCAGCTTTCCCTCTCTATCTGATACTTCCCCATCTCATAAACAATGAGGCTCTTTGTTTCCAAGGCCATAGCTTGATTCAAAAGGCAAAAACCACAAGCCCAGCTGGGCTCCCTTTTGGCCATTAGGCTAATTGCACTTTCCAAAGTGGCTCTGTTCAGGCACTTTCAAGGAGCAATGGAAAATATTCCTATAAAAGAAACTGGGGGAGAGATTGACACGTACAAATAGTCCTTGACTTACAACAGTTCACTTAGTAACCATTTGAAATTACAATGGCATTGAAAAAAGTTACTTATGACCATTTTTCACACCGTTGCAGCATCCCCATGGTCACGTGATTTACATTTGGAGGCTTGACAACTGATTCACATTTATGACTGTTGCAGTGTCCCAGGACCATGGGATCCACCTTCTGCAAACTTCTGACAAAGTCAAAGGGGAAACCAGATTCACCTAACATCCGCGTTATTAATTTAATAACTGCAGTGATTCACTTAACAAAGGAGCAAAATGGGGTAAGATTCACTTAACAAATTACTTAACGTAAATTTTGGACTCAATTGCTGTAGTAATTTGAGGACTACCTGTACTTCCAAACAACTGATCTTATTTTCTTCTTGTATTGTTCTTTTGGAAATGAACTTCTCTGCTTCAAGCAAGGGTTCTGTCTTCTTTCAAACCCAGTAGGGAAGAGACAGTTTCTAACACCATCTGCCACAGAGAGGAAGGGGTCAATCTATTTTCTAAAGCCAGACAAGGAATAGCGGATGGAAACTGAACAAGGAGAGATTTAACCTGGAAATAAGGAGAAACTTTCTGACAGTGAGAACAATCAAACAATGGAACAGCTTGCCCTCGGAAGTTGTGGGAGCGCCATCAATTGAGACCTTCAAGAAGAGATTGGACTGCCATCTGTCAGAAATGGTGTAGTAGGGTCTCCCGCTTGGGCGGGGGGGGTTGGATTAGATCAGGGGTCCCCAACCACCGGTCCGCGGACCGGTACCGGTCCGTGGAACAAGTCCTACCGGGCCGCTGGCTTGCTGGGCGCCGCCATCTTTTTTTGATGAAAAAGTGCTTCCGGTGAGCTTTTCCGGGTAGAAAGCTCACCGGAAGCACGTTTTCATCAAAAAAAGATGGCAGCGCCCAGCTAATGCCGGTACCGGGCCGCACCATAAAAAAGGTTGGGGATACCGGGCCGCGGCGTAAAAAAGGTTGGGGATCACTGGATTAGATGACCTACAAAGTCCCTTCCAACTCTGATTATCTGTTATTATCTGTTATCTGTTATCTGAACTCACAAAGTACAACATCTGAATACAGTGTGAATTGTGGTTGATTGGCAAGATAGCCAATTCTGAGTGAATAAGCCTTGCTTAAACTATGGTTTGGCATGTCACACGTATAATAACACCTGTATTTCTGCGAGAAAAGGTCCCTAGTCTTTTTTTTTTTTTTTTAAGGAAGGGAAAGGGTACAAAAAAATCACTGGAAAAAGAAACTGCCACGTTGCTCCTTTCAGCTTGGCTCGACAGACGGCGGCTGCCCTTGGGCGAATAAAGAGCGGAGGTCAGGCAACGCCGTTGTCAGAGAGGCCGCGGGCGATATTTTCGCGGCTGTTCGCAGGCAGCGGCGGGAGGGGACCCTTGAGCGGGAACAGCCTCCCGCGCGGGGAGGGGGCGGGCAGGAGGCGGCGCGGAGGGAGGGCAGGCCGGCTTCGGGAAGCGGTGCTCCGCGCTGGGACTGGTTCCTTCGCAGCCATTTTCTGTCCAACCAAACAGCCGATTTGTGGAGGGAGCCAACCAGGGCCGCACTGGAGGTTTGTGCCTGGCTCCGGCCAATGATTGCTAACCGGTTCCACTGCAGGCTCGAATGAAATGTCCGTCTCCCTCCCCGGGCTCCGGCGTTGCCGCCGCGCCGCCGCTGAGGGGACCAGGAAGTGTGGGGAGCCTAGAAAAAGCCGAGCGGAGCCCACGCCGGGCCCGCCTGCCTGCCTGCCTGCCGCTTCTTTGTGCCGCGTCTTCTGCTCTCGCCGCGAGGGGAGGGGAAGGCGAGATGGCGGCGCTGCCCGACCGGGCCCTGGAAACGCGGGGGGGGCCCAGAGCGAGGCGGCGGCGGCGGCAAGCCCGGCGCCTCACTCGGGGTCGCTTGCGGGACACGGGCGAGCCAAACCGTCCTCGCCTTCCCTTTTTTTCCCGCGCCCTCTTCCCGAATTGGCGGGTGGCCCCCTCCTTGCTATTGGGGGGGGGCTGCCTCCCCGTTTCTCCCGCGCCCCCCCCCCCCAACCGGGCTCCCTTTCCCTCCTCTGGCGGAGTTGGGTTTGTTTTGAGCCGACCCGCTTTGTGTGCGCCTGGCTTGGCTCGGCCTAAAGAAGAGGGATCTCGGGGTGCGGGGTTTGCCGCCCCTCGCCGGCCTCTGCCCCGGCCCTCCGTCGCGCTGCTCCTCCGCCTTTGGCGGCTCCAGGACTGGGTCCGAGGGGGAAATGGGACGCTGTCAGAAAGGGCTCCCGCAATCCCCAGCCAGGAGATGCTTCGTCCTGCTGTCCGGGCATGGCGGCCCTAAAGGTGGGTGGGGAGCCGTGGGGCTGCTATTTATGGCCCCCAAAGCTTTATTCCTCCGCTGGGTTGTTTTTCTCTGCGCATTTATTAGCATTCAGAGGTTGCTGCTGTTTTCTCTTGTTCCGTCTCCCACGTGCGTCTGCCCAGTTGTCAAAGGGCCTTATCGCTCCCGGGCTGAAAGGATTCAACCCACCAATTCTGAGTAATCCCCTTTTTTTCCCCCTCTCCCTAAAACGTACACACAACTACATCAGATCGGTATTGTCGGATCAGGGTTTTTTTTTTTTTTGCCAGCCAGCCAGCCAGCCTGCCTAATTTTACGGTGCACCATGTGAGTAAATGCTTGTGAAACTATGAGAGTAAAAATAGTTCATCAGACTTCTCTGGCTTATTTTTTTCTTTTTTAAAGGGAGGTTTGTATGTTTTCCCTGGGTTATGCTGATTTAGACAGAAATTATTGGTATTAAAAGGATTTTATCCAATACACATAATGTATACTGCCTGTTAGTTCCCCAGAATTAGATACTTATTAGAAAACCCCATAGATCTAATACAGATCCTCTCTAGTGTTTTGCTCATTGGTAAACCAAATGAATAACAAAGACCATAACAGCTCAAAAGCAAATCGTGGATCTCAAGCGAGGTTATTCTTAAAAGTTTCAGCATAAATCATTTGCTGAATGACAAAATATGTACAAATTAATCTGTCTGTACTTTACAATTGTGGGTGTAAGTTGAGGACTACCTTTATATGCTTATTGACCCTTGTTCCTTTTTTGCCCCCTAAAATACTGACCTCCCAACACACACAAGCATCCCCATATGTTTTTGCAATTAATAACATTCCAAACATATAAAACTAACTAATTGCATCATTTGTCAAGTATCATTTTAAAAGGACATAGAAAACTGGAAGGGACAATAAATAGAATTAGTAATAAGCAATGTACATTATTGTCTTTTTAAAAATATCTGAAAATATATGTACTTTTATATAGAATAGATTATTTTGTTAATGCACTGAAAAGACAGCTTGTCTTAGTTTGCCTAACATTGCAATTCTATATATGAATTCATGATACACTTGAAAGAAGATCAAAGATTGATTATCTTTGTAATGTTAAGTATAATCGACTGATGAAATCTATAGATAACAGTGCGTAGGATTAGAACTTTAATGTCTCAGATCTAATTTTTCAAAGTACATTTCTCAAAATATAAAAATGGTTTCCCTATTGAATTGCAAAATAGAAATTTAATAATTCTATTATAAATTAAGATTTATAAAAATATGATAAGTACTCTTGGCACTTTCAGATGTGACAGCTGATTTTAACACATCTTGAAGACTTGAGTAAAGTTACACTAGACAGGACTTGACTGTACTAGGAAGGCCCAGGATTGCAAGCTAGAGAAATTGGAAAAATAATATCCCAGAGGGATGCCATTTTTTCTAACGATATAAAATAGTCTATGTAGCCCTATCCAGAAATATTATCTGCATCAGATCACAACCAGTCCTGATAATATGTCATGGTTTGTTGACATTTCTTCTTGCTGCTATGATCTTATCTTCACTCTTTCCCTATTGACTGTAATCACTGAGGTAGACAGGCTGGATCCTTTGCAGCCATTCTCTGAGCAGAGACATAGGCAAGTGTGCCTGGGACTACGATAGGGATACCAACAGAGAACTCTGGTACAAATGTCTGGCTCTTGTCAAGCAATCCAAAGCAGTTTGTTCAGTGGTCTGGTGCTGTATCCCTCTTCAGTTTGCAAGGGAAGGACTGTAGTAATTTGGCATGTGATGAAAGCAGCTCTTTAACTGAATGCCCATCCCTTTCAGCCCACTTTCACACTCCTCTCTAGGCACCCTTTGAATCGCAGGGTGGCTATCTATAAGCCTCTTCCTACTTCCATCCACTTTGTCTTCTTCAAGTATGAACTACTGAGAGCAGAAAGCCCTTTCTAAGGTTAGATTAGTTTTATTCCAATATTGGCTAAGTAATACAGCAGTAGATAATGCTTCCTGGGGTGGTGGTGGAATTGAGATTATTTTTATTGCTTTTCAAATAATAACAAAAAAGAACTAAGACGGATATAGTGATGGAGATACATAAATTTTCAAAGAGAAGGAATCACTCCCCACACAAATTATTAAGCTATTATGTAACATCATTACAGTCCTTATTTATGGAAGTGGCAGTAATTCTCTTTGAAATACAATTTAATGCTTCTTGAAGTGGCGCCAAAGCATGAAATATTTACACAAAGAGAAACAACACTGTTTGTAAAGAATAGATCATTGCCTAATGAACAGTGGCACCTTATTGTACAGAACTGAACGCACTGAGAAATGCTCAGTTATTTGAAATAGTGGAAAATTAATTATTTATGTGTAAGTCTTTAACATTTGATATGTGTTTGAACTTCTGAAATACTTCAGTTTGTATAAGTGCCCTACAAAAGAATAAAGTAGGTTGTCTGGGGATGATAAAATAAATGCCATACCATTATACATGAACAATAGTATCTCGGTATGCTAAAACAATTTAGCAGATAGATTGAATTGAATAACAAGAAATGCAGTGGGAATTTCTTAATATACTTGAAAGTTAAAGTTCAGGTACAGAAGATTATTGATGCCATTCATGATGGTAATAATGTGTATATATAGCCAATGTTCTGTTCAATAATGTTATATTATTGTAGATGGATGGTGATAATTCTACAACAGATGCTTCACAGCTGGGAATTGCTGGAGATTACATTGGTGGTAGTCACTATGTGATCCAACCTCAAGATGGTAAGTAACATGTTGAATAGAATGTATTGGTTTTTCAATGGTTAGAATTGACCGTTCTCTCCATTCTTGATATCCATTTCTGTTTAAAATGGCTTTTTCTTTCTTGTACAGGAGGCTGAAGGGAAAGATATAAATGATTTGTTTTAGTGTCTAAATTAAAATTTTGTAAAAACCTGAAGACTGCATAAAAGACTGCATAAAATTAGTACAAGAATAGCATCTTGGTCATAGGCTGAGCATGCCCATCTTTGATATAAGTTATGCCTCAGGCTTAATATTGCTGGTGGCGTTAGGCTAGTAGCATTCTTAGAATGCTGAAATGTTGTGTAAAAATATGAAATAAAAACTAGTATTCTTTAAAGTACTTAAAAGAATAATCCGGGTAGTCCTCGACTTATGACCACTAGCTTATCAAACGTTCGAAGTTACAAAGCACCTTTCTGGAGGTACTTACAATCCAGATCTGAAGGTTCTGATGGCCACCCCTCTCCATCACTTGACTATATTTTGGGTGCTTAGCAACTACCGCCATTTGCAGAGTCCCACAGTCCCTTGATGTGTTCTATGACAATTTTGCCGTAAACCAGTTTTCAGCAAAATCACACCCATAGCGAACCAGTGATTTGCTTAACAACTGCAGCGTTCACTTTGTTTTTATATTTTTGACTCCCAAAAAGGTCATAAAATCAGTCACTTGTGTGACCCAATTTACAACCATCAATGAGCAGACTCCATCACTGTTGTAACTCAAAGACTATGTATAATAAAAGGCTAATATAAAGTAAGTGGTACGTTTTTCAGTTGAATATCAGAGCATTGATTAATGTTCCTGATTATGTAATTAATGTTTATATGTGTTTTCTTAGATACTGAGGATAGCATGAATGATCATGAAGACACAAATGGTTCCAAAGAGAGTTTTAGAGAACAGGATATATACCTTCCTATTGCAAATGTGGCAAGGATAATGAAGAATGCTATACCTCAGACAGGAAAGGTAATATATGTGAAATAAATCTTTGATAGCATTCAATATTTTAAGTATAGATTAGGGATCTGATATTGCTTTTTAACATTTGAGTCATCAGTTTCTATTAAATGTCTGAAAAAACACCTCCCTCTATCTGCTTGCTTTGTTTTTATATTTTTGACATGCTCCATTATTATGCCTTTTTAATATTTTTATTATGTTTTGGAGGGGGTTGTTATAATGTTTATCTCTTTGGAAAAATGGTAGTTTAAAAATATTTTAATGTATATTGTGTATATTTTAGATTGCTAAAGATGCAAAAGAATGTGTGCAGGAGTGTGTCAGTGAATTCATCAGTTTTATTACATCAGAAGCAAGCGAGAGGTGTCATCAGGAGAAACGGAAGACAATAAATGGAGAAGATATTCTCTTTGCTATGTCTACTCTGGGGTTTGATAGCTATGTTGAACCTTTGAAATTGTATCTGCAGAAGTTTAGAGAGGTTTGTAATTCTATTTGCAACTGTTTCATTGTAGGTTTAAATATACTTGTATATAACAGGAAAGATAGTTGGATAATTTGTATGTGTTACTATTGGAAAAGAGAATCAGTTTTTACCTGTACTGTAGTGTTTTGTAAAGATTTCCCTTTACTATACAAGTGTATAAATTTATAGTAGAAAAAAATATTCCTATTGTTCATATCTCATGGATTTGGGTTAATCAACAATTGCAGTTAACATTGTATAATTTAATGTGTTAGGTCCTGAGAAGAAAATGGATGAGAATCTCCACAAAATCAAAGTATATAAATTTTGACACAAACAACCTTTCTTCTCTTCCCCTCTTATTTGCATTGTTGTATTGTGGAGGGATCTGGGCTTTTGTGGCCTTCACATCTGTTTTACTTCTACTTTGTTTATCATAGTGATAAGAATGAACAGAGTGGAGCAGAGCTGATAAATAAGCATCTCATAACAAGGAGATGGTGCTTATTGTCGCAGTTTCTGTAAATAGCTATTCATAGCAAGTTGGAAGACAGAACTTCACATCAGTCTCTGGTTAAGACAGACTGAGCTGGCAGGAGTATGGGAAAATTCTTCAAAACATCTGCCTAATTTGCCATTTTGTCCAAGAAGCTTAGCCAGAAAATCTATTATGAATATTTAATATGATCAGTGGTAAAGCAAAATCAACAGGCTCCTAATAGGTCTTTTGTACAAGAGAGAAAGAGAGATTTCAAACGTATTCAATTGTATTGTAAATTGCTGAAATGTATGTGTTATATGTAAAACATTACTGTTTTTCAAGGCAATGAAGGGAGAAAAAGGCATTGGTGGAACAGTTACCACAGCAGACGGCCTTAGTGAGGAGCTCACAGAGGAAGCATTTAGTAAGTACTGTATCACTAATAGTGACTGGTGCAGGTGTGATAATTGTTGCTTGATATATACAGTTAAATAGACTTGTTAATTGTATTGAATTACAGCCAGTATTTAGGTGACAGTTTAATGGCAAAGTACATACAGTCCATAAAACATTGATGCTATATGTAAGTAGTCCTTAGGTTAGCGCAAAGTCATGTGACTTCATCATTTAGTGATAGCAATCCCAGCTATCATTTCCAATTGCCATAATAATTCTAAGTTCCACAGATCATTAAGATGAAAGTGGCAGGAGTCCCAGGTAAGTAGCATGGGTAGAAGGGGAGACCCAGCACAGGCTGCTCATAAGTCCAGGATGGCCAGGACTGGAATCATCTGTGACCTTCCCTGCCAATTTTCACATTGACTTTGCTTGTGGGAAGCTGGCAGGGAAGGTTGCAAATGGCAATCACGTGACCGTGGCTCCCTGCAATGTTATAATTGTGAGCCAGGTGTGATCAAGTGACTGCAGAGAAGCTGCAGTGCCAGAACTTTGAGGATTGGTTGTACATCCATTTCTTCAGCACTGCTGTAATCTTGAACAGTTCAATGAACAAATGGACACGAGCCAAGTATTATTGGTAGTTTGTTCATGAATCCTTGAAAACAAGATTGAAACTAAATGAACTAAGAATCATATTGAGTTATACAATTTTTGATCAGGATTTCATGTTGACGTACTTTACTTGTTGTCATCACTATAAATGATTTACCACTGAGGAGAATTTCCATTCAAAATTATATGTCACAGTATAACATATTTTGATGCATGAAGATTTACCGGTATTCCTTAATGAAAACACAGAGACAAAGCAATTCTGCTGCTGCCGGTGGATTATTTATTGAAGCATATAGAAACAATGTTATTTTTTCTAATAGCCCTAATTCACAAGTAGTAGTCTTCGATCTCAAGTCAATATTTTTATTTATTTGAAATAGTTATATCCTGTCCATATTCAGAGAATCTCATGCTGATTGTAATGAAAAGAAAATGAAATGATACTACTATGTAAATTAAATTGAAAATTAATTTGAAATACATGATTGTTTACCTGAAACTTGATATACAGTAATAGTAGTGTAATTTACCTAAAACTAACCATGCATTCTTATTGTAAGACAGAATTGTTTTAATAAAAGTTTCTGTAGAAAACAAGTTTCTTTTATTATGGGTTATGTTTAAACTATGCAGAGTTCTGATGTCTCACAAGAAAGATCCCATTGTAAAGACATTTTTAAAGCATTCTCTGCATTTTGGTAACAGGTGTGTGTCTCTTGCATAGAGTTCATTGAGCTTTTAATTAAATATCTTCCACTAGTTTTGAGCTCTGCATTTTTTCCAGTAGAATACAGATGCTTTTGAGTGCCTGAAGATAATTAATTGTACATACTTCTGGAAGTTAGAAAGTAGAAAACCTAATCAGGCAGGAAAGGAGGAATTCTCTGATAAAACTTTATCACAACAGAATTGCATTAATTGCAGTTGTTTTCTTCACTGAATTATATTCCAAGTATTGAATGACTGTTTAACAAAAATCCTTATACTGATTAGAGGATCGTTTGAATGCAAATCAAAGCACGTGTAGGCATTGCTGATAAAAGCTTACTTTCCTCTCTCCCTGTTGCCCCAAAAGGTTCATCTGAAGGTCAGGTTATCCTCCTGAATGAGAGGAAGAATATTTGATAGTAAGGCAGAGAGACCTTTATATAAACAACATAAAAAATAGGTGTCTAATTTTTAATAACATGCTCTGTCTCTCCTGCAATACAAACATATTCAGGTAGCCCTTGACTTACAATAGTTCGTTTAGTGAATGTTTGAAGTTACGATGGTACTGAAAAAAGTGATTTATGACCATTTTTCAAACGACTGTTGTGGCATCCCAATGATCAAAATTCAGATACTTTGCAATTGACTCATTTTTTATGGTTGTAGTGTCCCAGGGTCATGTGATCAGGGTTTTGCGACCTCCTGACAAGCAGTCAATGGGGAAGCCAGATGCACTTAACAACTGTATTACTAACTTAATTACTGCAGTGATTCACTTAACATGGCAAGAAAGGTCATAAAATGGGGCAAAATTCACTTAACAAATGCCTCACTTAGCAACAGAAATTTTGAGTTCAGTTGTCATAAGTGGGCAATTTTAACCTGTATTTTATTAGAATTTTAAAATGCTCAGAGAAACTTTGGGAGTAGATTGGTGGAGGATAGAACATGCAGTAGCAAGTATGTGAAACTTAATGACTGAAGTTAGTAGACCTGTATATTTGAAACCATGATGTTTTGCATTACATCACGAGTGTCAAACCTGCGGCATCACATTGCCGTCATGTGACATTTTGTGACGTTTCCCCATTTGTGGATCTGGGGTGGGCATTGACGCATCCAGCCTGTGGGCCGCCAGTTTGACACCCCTGCATTAGATGGAATTTGCCCTGTTGAGCTGATCAGGTTTTTATTTGTTTTGTTTTGTGTCTGTGTTATTAAAAAAATATTTGCCATAGACAAACAAGTATAAAAGCGGATGGAGAACCTTTGCGCACGCATTCCCATTAAAGTACAGCGATCAATGTGCTTTAAAACAGTCGTGCTTTAAAAAACCGAAAATATTAATATGCACTGTAAAGAATCAATCTGACTTCCAACTGTAAGATGAGACAGTTAATATATTAATGTTTTTATTCATACTACTGTGTATTTTTATCTTCCAAATTAGTTTACAGTTGAACTCTCTCAATTTCTTGTTAGGAAGGTCTAACATTTATCTGGTACTATCAGGTTGCAGTTTGAGTACATATTAGTGAAAGAGATCAGATTTGATACTGTTTAATAGCAGATATTTAACTTGGATTTGGTATTTAATTTTACATGAGCAGAAATTTTCTAACAATACTATTTTTCTCATGTAGCTAACCAGTTGCCAGCAGGTTTGATAACTACAGATGGCCAACAACAAAATGTCATGGTTTATACAACGTCCTATCAACAGGTACAGCATTTCCTCCCCCCACCCCCCAACTTTAATTCCTGTTAAATATTTCCATTTTGGTATCAGTACAGTGAAAAAGTGGTTATTGCCAAGATCACTACAATAGATATCATAATGTGTTTCTGGATTGATTTTTGAAATTAATGTGTATTTGTTTTCTATGTCCTAGATTCCTGGTGTTCAGCAAATTCAGTTCTCATGACTTGAAGAAGGCTTTAGAGACGTAGTAAATATGAACAAGGATTGCTAAAGGAAAGAGAACTTGATTGGCTAGTGAAGAAAGGTCACTTTGTATATTCAATAGTTGTAATGTAGCTTCCTGAGGCTTGACTAATTGAGATGTGAACTCTGATTCAAACCTTTTTTCATGAGTGATTTTAAAAGAAATTGGATTTTAAAGGTATTAAAATATTTTTTTTGTTTTGTACAAGAGTTTGTTGCTCTGTATAACTCCTATATGCATTGTATATTGCAATTTACTACTGTCAAGAGATTTGTAGACAGTTTCTTATTTTCATATTGAATCATGTTACTTTTGTAATTCAAGTAAACAGCTGGGTTTAATTCACATTTACCCTTTGAATAAAACATAAGGGTACAGTTCATTTTGAATGCAAGTTGCCTTTATTATAAAAATTGAGATGACCTTTTGTTTTGTATCTGTCTTGCATGAGTTGAATTAAATATTTATTAATATTTAACTTGAATTTCCTCAAATGCCCACAGTTCAAAATAAGTGCTCCCAGTACTTTTAATATAATACTTTAAATAATGGGAATCTAGAAGTAACCAATCTTTGGATCCTAGCATTATAACCTTGGGTCATGGTCCCTGGGAACTATTTTGCACAAGCTGTAAAAGAATGAAGGTGGGTTTGTCACAAACTGTTGTCTTGTATGCAGAATTAGTTCTGTGGATTGTCTGGTACCCAGTATCAGTGTTAACTGTACCTGATAGTGCAGTCCCTGTTTTGCAACAATTAGAAGTATATGTAGTAAAAGTTTTTTTTTGGTTGATCTTTGAACTAGGGATATTCATCTTGCTACTTTTGAAATAAATTCCTTTTAATTTATGATTTCTCTCCAAAGAAACCAGATTCTGTTTGAATGATATTTTTATTGTCAGATTACCTCTTTAACATCTTCATAGTCATGATGTGTGGCAACTCCAATCTTAAATTACTGTGGAAGTTAAGAGGGACATGTATTTCCAGGGATGTAAATGGAAGGTTTGAACATCCATTTGGCTGTTTCCTGTTGCTGCAATAAATTTTAAGATACCTTAAAATATTGTGATTTGTAGAATGATAATAAGTGAACAGATGCCACTGAGAACTTAAGAATAAAATTGCTGATCAGCAAAGCTTTGTCCTGCACAATATCGGACAACAAAGCAAAACAGCTGCTGATTTCTAAACCATGAAGAGAGAAATGTGAAAATCCGATGCTCATCCCTCCATGGGAACTGGTCTCTGTTTTAAATCATGATGGCAAAAATCGTCGGAACACACTCAGCTAACACATTCCAGTAGCATTTAACATTGGAAAAAAACAGAAACCTCACATAATTTTTGCTCAGAAGCTACATAGTCCAAGATGTCTGTGGAGATTCTTGGTCATCCAGGTCATGGTTGTCCCAAAGGTGCTTTTTCAGGAGGCAACTGGATTTAGTTATTTCTTTGAAGACGTTTCACTTCTCATCCAAGAAACTTCTTCAGTTCTGACAGGATAACGGGGAATGGAAGGATTATAAAGCCTGCAAGGAATATAAATCTTTCCATTCCCCACTATCCTGTCAGAGCTGAAGAAGCTTCTTGGATGAGAAGTGAAACGTCTTCGAAGAAATAACTAAATCCAGTTGCCTCCTGAAAAAGCACCTTTGGGATATAATCCAAGATGATTTCTTAAAAAAAAATAGCACTAACAGAGAAAGCATCTCATTTGCAACAGGTTAAGGAAAATTAATACGAATTTTTGTTTTCAGAAAGCTGTAGATATGGTGCAATAAAAATAATTAGATGTGAGAATCTGAAAAGCTGATGGAAACTTGGAATGCAAATTGCCAGATTAATTTTCTAGAAAGTTTTGTTTTTTTTACTTTGGCTGTCAATGTTATGATCAGAATTAACTTATGATTCACCTCATATGAAATCAAACTGATGAAGGGATTTGGAAAAAAGGTGAATGATTACCTTTTAATAAAGCTTAAGTTGTTGGATTGTGCAAAACAAGTCTTAAATGAAATTAAAGTGTAGCAATCCAGTAAAGAGACACATTTATGAAGCTACCACAAGTAACTTCTGATAAACAAGCTTGCATATATGAATTTGAAGGGCAGTTTTTAAGACAGTGAAGATGCAAATCCACTTGTAGCCTCAGAAACCACTTGATTACTTTGAGCCAGTTACTTTCAGCTCAATTTACTTCACAAGGTGGTAAGGGGAGAAAAATTATACTCCCTTGAATTCTTAGAAGGGCAGGAAATCTTTAGCATTTTATTGGTTCTATAGATAAACATGGGCTTTGTGATAAAAGTAACTATCAGGATCTCTATCCACAGTAGCTTAATTAGATTTGTTCACATGATTCAGACAGATAATCAAAGTTTTATTACACTTAAAAATCAACCCCACATCTTACCTTGTTTTCCCTTGCACTAAAGCCAAAATAACATAGTGCAAGATTTAGCTTCTTAGGACACTAAACTCTGCAATGTGAATATATGAAATGTTTATTTCTAAATGTAATTATTACCATTGAAAGCTGCATTGATTTAACTAATACCACAGGTTTAAAAAAAGCATTAGGACAAATCATTTTATTACAAATAACAATGCTACTTTTATTATAGAAAATATTGGATTTCTCTCAAGACATTTCAGCTGCAGATCATAAGACCATAAATAGCTGGCTTTAACCATCACTTCAGAATTCCAGTTAACTGGTGTTATTTTTGTTAAAGACTGATTTACTGGTTCAGCCTACTTCAAAATTATGGTCAAATATTGCTATATAAATCATACATAACAATGGCTGCATTCAGATGGTCACATTACTTTAGTAAACAAACAGACAATATGAGCTATTTTTCCTCATTCTTATATATCTTACTGAATAATTACTCAGCATTTTTACAACACTAAGTACTGTACTTTACTCAATAGGTCAATGGGGAAAATGTCAATGGGTGTATTCCATTTTACCAAACCCAGCATATGAGTATACGTTTTAGAACAAACCAGTGTATGAAACCATAAAGCTGATTTTCATACTTCGATTTTATTCTAAAACTGGTAAGCAGTTATTTGAAACTGCAATCCCTATACATAGGCAAAAGGCTTATTTGTATCAGCTTATTAAATACATATATGACCCTCTGAACCATCCAAATTTTTATTCACACACCATGTCACAAAACTGAAGTTGAATTGATGAAGTAAGGAATAAATAGCAACAGACTTACATTTATAAAGATTGATACTAAGTCTATTATTGAAATTGGAACAGGATGGACTAATTTATACAAGATGTTATACATATATTTACAAAGGCAAGCAAAAAAAAACAACCCAACAAAACAACAACCAGTTTCCCAAACAGTCTGATTTTATATATATTTTAAATGAACTTAGGTTGACCCACTTATCCAAATATATTGATACTTTTTAAAACAGAATATGCTTCAAATATAAATTTATAGTTGGATGAAATACATTTTAAGTGCTATTAAGAGAAGCAGGCTGCAAAAATAGCTAGACATTGTATGGGTGAGGCTACTAAAGAAATTACACACTTGTTACGAATCTAGTTCAGTATATGGGAAACTGCTGAATTGTGGTTAAATTATAATAGCCTATTGGCATAAGCACATGTACACTGAATCTCAGGTCTGAATTAACACCACAATTTTACCTTTGGTAATCATGACATACTCTTAAAACAAGTGCAGAAATATATGAACTCAAAAGTGCAAAAATACTCACAGATATACTCAACAGATCATATTGTTAAGTAAGGTATCTACAATCAAAAAGTTATTAATAGCCATATAATTCTTACATTGTCACAGTAGGCCTCCTAATTCAAAAAAGTTATACAAAACAACACACTACAACTATGTTGAGTGAGTTCTTAAAGGTACTTCTCTTTGACCCTGTGACCACTGGGATATCTGGATTCAATCCAGAGTTGGAAGTATGTGGCAGGTAAAGTGAAAGGAAGCACATTTCTTATGACAATTCAAGGAAGAGCTTAAATTCTCCTAGCATCTAAAATGGACCTTCTCAGGAAATACTACCTTCAACTTTGAAGAATGTATTTATAGATTTCTGAAGTTTCCATTTCACAGTACTAGTTTAAAAAATCTAATGTTAATTGCTAAGAGCAACCAGAATTGTATGACTGCAACATACATTTTCTCTGGGGTGTTGTTACGTACTTGCCATAGAAAAAGGTACATATCATAAGGTGCATGAAAGAGTATGTTGGTTTCACTCTGAGCATCTATTATTATGCCACAAATAGACACAGTGTTGTATAGGTAGTATAACTGACATCCCATCCCACCCTCTTTATATCCCACTGCCAATGTTTATCTCAGGAAAAAACCCAGTAAGCAAAGTTACTGTCAGCTGACTAACATACACAAAAGTTTGTTGATGGAACTTGTTCCTAGTATGATTTGATTGCTTTTTGTACCCTACAACTATCATTAAGTGTTGTACCTTATGATTCTTGACGCTTGACTAATGTATCATTTCTTTTATGTACACTGAGAGCATTTGCACCAAGATAAATTCCTTGTGTGTCAAATCACACTTGGCCATAAAGAATTATAATCTAATTCCTTCTTAGAAAGTAGCCAGTAAAAAGTGCTACTTAATTTATGAACAATTCAAAAAAGCTTTTTAAAAAGTAGACCACTGTAGGTTTTTTTAATGGCATTACAGATTGTGCTGCATCAGTATGATTATTGTAAAATTTTAGAATTCTACTCTCTTAGGGTGGCTTTCTCCACCTGCCTCTCTCCTGATTTGTTAGGACTAGAGCTTTTAGCCACTATTCTGGAACTTTCAGTCCCCACACATCTGAGGTTACGAACCATCTGTTCCCAACTTTTTGTCACTGTTATTGTCACTGTTATTCAAATATCTCCAGAAGATTATTAATAAGTATTGGAGATAAAATTGGGGGAGTTGGATCCTAATTCTATCCAAACCATGAATTCACTGGGATTATGCTAAGCCATTTTGTGGAAGCTGTAATGATTTGTTTTATATTAAGCCATAAACCATGCAAATCACAGTGGCTTAATTCATATATCATAAGCAGTAATTCATACATCCAACCATCTCATGGTTTATTAGGAACTAAGCCAAAACAGACTTTCTTCAAATGAATTTCTCCCAGTTTCTCTACCTAAAAATGGGTTACAACATCTCAAAGATGTTTTGTAACTGTGAACATGGAATGATAGTAAAGCATTAGTATTACCATAATCCACTTTAAAACTGATCCTTGCAGATCAAGTGATTCCCATCTTAATTCTTATGCATTGATGGAAAACTGAAGTGCAAAATACTCATTCTATTGCACATATGCACTAAATCAGGTTTCAAAATAGAGATTATTTTTTTTAAAAAAATCATTTTATTTAGATGCCAAAGGATGCAATCCACAGGAACCTGTATAAGGTCCATACAAATTAATGTAAAAAGCACTACTGTTCATAGAAATATCCCTGTGGGATGCATCATTAAGCTCTATTTACCACCTACATAATATACTGGCACAATTTAGCCACTTTATGCTATAATATGATAAACAATTATTCATGTACAAAATCGCATCTAAATGCCTCT